CTGCTTATATTTTTTTTTTTTACATTTTGCCCTTTTAAAATGCGAATTAAAACTCAACTCTCGTAACTTCGAATTCAATTTCATCTTCACCCACACCTTCGTGTATATGAAACTAATTAAAGAACTAAAAAGGTATAAGAACTTAAAATTTGACAACGAGGCTTGATAATTTAATCAAAACACCTAACTAGGGGCATTTTGGTAATCAAATTACTCAAGAATAAAATACAATATTTTTATGTACGAGTTGTAACATGTTTTGAGCAAGTTTCAAAGCCCACATGTGCTCAATCAAGTCATGTTGACACTATTTGTTGATGTAATTCGAATGTATGGTGTGGTAACACTAAATGATCATGTTGTGGTAACATCGATCTCGTTCTATAAGATCGTGTTGGGCAAGTTCTTCAGTGTTGTCATGGGCTTGATAAATTCTAGCTTTTGAATTATTCACCGTGTCTTTGTCCAAATTTTCTTCGTCATAATTATACTTATTTTCCACAATCATGTTATGGAGGATGATGCACGTCATCATGATGCTTCGAAGTGCCCCATCATTCCATAGTTGAGTAGACCCTCTAATGATTGCCGAACGAGCTTGAAGTATACCAAAACACCTCTCCACATCCTTCTTGCACCCCTCTTACTTTGCTGCAAAGTTTTTTCCTTCATTATGTGGATTTGCCTATGTCTTGATAAAAGTGGACCACCAAGGATAAATTCCATCGGCTAGATAGTACACCCCCGAGTACACAGTACCGTAGATTTCATATGTAATTTGAGGCAACTCTCCCCTTAACACGTCGTTGAAAATAGGTAATTGACCAAGAACATTTCATTCATTTTGAGTTTGTTGGTACCATATATTGGGCCTCGTATATTTGGGCCTTGGGCCTTGTATTTGGGCCTCACACTAAAGCCCATACTTTGTAAAAGAGGAGGAGCCCCTTATTCTATAAAAGGGGACTCCTCCCCTCATTCTAAAGGAGGCAAAAGAGCCAAGCCTAAGAAGGCTAAGAGAAGCTATCATTACATTCAGGAGAGACCTCACACCACCGAGGCTCTCCTCTCCCTTCTCTTCTTTCTCCTCCGGGGGACTTCCCCCAAACACTTGTATCCATACAATTACAGAGAAACAGAATCAACTACAGTGTGGACGTAGCCCAAACATTGGGGTGAACCACGATACATCTTGTGTCATTTACATTTCATGCAGATTCACGGTCGGATTTACGTTGTTCCAAGACCTCCGGTTTTGTGCATCAACATTTGGCGCCGTCTGTGGGAAACGACACGAAAAGTTATGTCGGTTCTTTTTCAATTTTTCATTTCCACCTTGAATCTGCAAAAACCCAGAAACAGAAAACATCCAAATTCCAACACCTGCTCTTACACCTCCCTCTCTGTTCTTGTAAAAGTAACATCAAAATTACAAAAAGCTCATGCGAAAACACCTCATTTTCTCTCTTTCTCCTCCAAGACAAAGGGCTGTCGAAGATCCCAACGCAGAAGAAGGGAAAACGAGGTGTATCCCGACGACAGCACACCACCTGTGAAGGCTTAGACGATCGACGAGCTCCCCTCGCTGTAGAATTGGGCTTCATTTACCTAACCCAGATCACGAAAGCTTTGAACTACTACTCATATCAGCTCAACAAAACAGCGGAGCTCCGCTGCCAGTCCTACCTGTCGCTTCCAGCGGAATGTTGGACCACCACCTGACTCCGCGACTCGTCGCAATTGGAGCCCATGATGTATCTTCCATTCCCAGCGACTTCAACTTACGTTTTTCGACCACCTGATGGCCGAGCCCGGCCTCAACCTCATCGGCTGCTGTACCGAGCTCAACGCCGGTGATGATGCTGACGGCTAGGCATCCGGATCCGAGAGGCTCCAGGTAGGCACGGGCGTACTGTGAGTTCATCTGTCTATTTCTTGCTGCCGCGCAAGCCCCACATCTCAATGACGAGGTGGTGGTCTCCGACGGAGCAGAGACTGATAAGGATCCAGACCGTAGCCGATGAGGTGCCCATGAAAGATGCTTCGAGGGATCTAGGCCAAGAGACGGGGCATGATTCAATGCCAACCCCAACCCTGTCGTTGGATGACCAAGTTGCGAGTTCCTCATCTACAGCACAAGTCACTGGACCTTTCCCTGGCCTCAGATCAGTTTCCGAGCCTCAGACGAGAACCACGGTGCCACTGGGCCTTTCCCTGGATCTGTGCTACCTAAACAGAAAAAAAAAAAGTTTCAGGAAAAATCCCATTCACAGAGGCAGTGAGAAATGATGAGAGATGGAGGCACTACTGGCAAAAGGAATCATTGCCAAATATTTTCCTTTTCAGAAAGGAAACCATGAATGACCCACTGTCTCCACCCACTATCTCCACCGAAAACAAAAAAGGGATAAGATTCTTTTCCTTTAAATATTTTATTATTTTTACGTCATGATAATTATAATTATTATAAAATAATGATTATATTATTTTTATATCATGATGAACCATGATTAAATAATATGATTATTATTTCTGATATTACATGATTAATACCACGTTATTGATTTATACAACATGTGATTTATCAAACAACTAAATAAATCATTTATTCATGATTATATATATATACACACATATTTAGGCAATACCTAATATATTGTTGATATATGATACAAATCATTTACCACACGACTGAATAAATTATTTATTTATAGAAGAACATAGTACAATATTTTGCCTTAACAAACTTTGTCAATTTGATTTATTCATTATACGGTCGTACTTATACTATCATTTATTGTCAGGAATTATTGAGCAACTAGGTCCACTGATCAACATTGTTGCTGATTAACGAGGTCTACCAACTTATAGACTGATGAGCCACGTGCTTGTGGTGATCTCTTGTCTGACCGGACATCCACTTGCTCGGACATTCACTTATTGGGATACCTATGTGCCTGGACCCAACTCGATGACCCTACAGATAGTCCCAACTCGATGCCCCTACGTATGGCCCCGATTCAAAGACCCGACTTGCGGACCCGATCCGCGGATCCGACACATAGACCCAATATGTGAACCCGACAAGCAGACCCGAGTCATGTCGAGAATCAACTCATACTAAGTGCATGTTGACATAAAGTAGATACTTGCAATGAGGAATACCACGAGCCGAGCCGCCTCGCAGCGAGCATAGCCTCTAGCCGAGCCGCCTCGCAACGAGCATCGCTTCCAGCCGAGCAAACGCCTCGCCGCGAGCATAGCCTCTAGCCGAGCAGCCTCGCAACGAGCATCGCCTCCAGCCGAGCAGTCTCGTAACGTGTGATACCTCTAGCTGAATATTGCTTTATGTTGAGCATTGTCTTGGGTTGAGTACTGGTTCAAGACATCTAGCCACTTCGGCTCATACATGGATTGGATTTGAAGTCTCCAGCCAAAAGACTCTCTTGACTGAAGACTTGGGGGACTCCTGTTGGTACCATATATTGGGCCTCGTATATTTGGGCCTTGGGCCTTGTATTTGGGCCTCACACTAAAGCCCATACTTTGTAAAAGAGGAGGAGCCCCTTATTCTATAAAAGGGGACTCCTCCCCTCATTCTAAAGGAGGCAAAAGAGCCAAGCCTAAGAAGGCTAAGAGAAGCTATCATTACATTCAGGAGAGACCTCACACCACCGAGGCTCTCCTCTCCCTTCTCTTCTTTCTCCTCCGGGGGACTTCCCCCAAACACTTGTATCCATACAATTACAGAGAAACATAATCAACTACAGTGTGGACGTAGCCCAAACATTGGGGTGAACCACGATACATCTTGTGTCATTTACATTTCATGCAGATTCACGGTCGGATTTACGTTGTTCCAAGACCTCCGGTTTTGTGCATCAACAGAGTTCATGGAACACCTAAGAATGCATGTCAAACCCATGTATCAAATGATGCAACCGTTCTAAAATTGTTGACCCTAACTTGGGGCAATTTTTCCATTGCCAATGCATGCAGTCAATACTTCCAATCATGCCAGGAAAACCTCGACCCTTAGCTTTCTGAATAAGCTTTCTGAGGTCTGCTGGTGAGGGTCGACGAAGGTACTACGTGGTGTATGGATATTCGATTGTGATGTGGAGCCTATTATGGGACACAAGAATAATGGATTCCCCAATCCTCGCTATCTCATCAACCGTGTCTACAGATGCCCCATACGCAAGCATTTGCAAGGCAGATGTGATCTTTTGCATAAGAAGAAGACCTAAATTATTAGCAGCATTCTTCTTTTGTACAAATTAATTATCAAGGTTGGAAATAGCAACCATGATTTTGTTAAACAACTGTGGTTGTATCCTAAATCTTCTACAAAAATAACTTGCCGTGTAAAAACAATTTGGAATAAAGTAACATTGCAATAGATTCTCACCTCAAGTTTCCCTGCCTCAGTTGAGGTTGGGTGCACGACCAATGCTTGAGCCACCTGCTTCTTGGTTGTGGTGACTGACTGCTGCGATCACTTGCACCACTTGAAGAGTTGATGCTTCTCTACGCCTTCGGTGCTGGGCACGTCTCCTTCTTCGTTGGTTATCTTCTCCCCCGTCTTCTCGTTCTTCTTTCTCATGCAACCTCCTCAGGTTATCCATTGTTGAAAGTACTTTGTTTTGTAAAAATCTACGAATTAAGATGAGTAGGGAGATGAAGAAGGCTTGGTGTGAGTATATATGGTGGTTTTAAGGTTTTTTATGGAGAAAAATGAGAAAATTATAAGATTGGATAATGATATGTGGCACTAAATGAATGTTCGAGAATTTTACAAAAAAATTGATCGAATTTTACTAATGAATAATGGCACATAACACTACATGAATGGTTGAAAATTGTAACAAAAATCTACGACATGAATGCCCTAATTGGCTACTTCGGGCTTTTGACCCATTGCCACAGAAAAATGGTACGGATTTCTCTCCCTTGGGCCTTTTAGAATCCAGATTAGATTTATAGAGAACAGCAGCAGCGACCAACCAAATCCTTTCCAAAACCTTGGAATTACAAAATTTCACAATACAGTCACACCATTTGATTTCTTCCCCTTGTGCTAAACCTAGGGTTTCGACAAACCCTAGCTCGGAGAAGATTGGCGAGCAATTCTGGAGCTAAGGATGGACTTCGACGAGTACGATTACCTGGAGAAGACTGTGCAGGAGAACGACGAGCGGGATCCGAAGAAGAAAACGAAGAAGGAAGGCACCGAGAAGAGCTACAGGAAGAGAGAGGTTGACGACGACGTTTCAGTGGGCGGCGAGGAGGACGATAGGAAGAGCAGTAAGAGGTCAAAGGCTGAGCACGAGAACGGGCGCGAGAAGGATCGGCACCATCGGACTGGAAGGGAGAGGGACCGAGAGAGCGAAAGGGATAAGGAACGGGATCGTGATCGCGGCGAGCGAGAGAGAGACAGAGAGAGGAGTAGCAGAGACAAGGAGAAGGATGCGGATAAGGACAAGGAGAGAGAAAGAGAGCGGAGGGAGAGGGATAAGGAGAGGGAAAGAGAGAAGGAAAAGGAAAGAGAGAGGAGAGATAGGAGAGAGAGGGAGGACAGACACAGAAGAGAGAAAGAGGAGAAAGAGAGGTCTAGGAGGAGCGTAAGCCGCTCCGACCGCGAAGAGAAAGAGAGGCCTCGCAGAAGTAGTGACCGAGAAGATAAAGAGCGGTCTCGCAGAAGTAGGAGCCGCTCGGAGCGTGATAGGGAGAGGGAAATTAGAGAAAGGGAACGAGAGCTTGAGCTGAGGGAGAGCAGGTAATCATATGAACGATGGGCTTATGCTTCAGTTTATTTAATTTATGTTTGTTTGGTTTCGTAGTTTCATACCTTTATTGGTTTCTGGTATTTCTACTTGTTGCTCATCGGTGTCGTTGCTAGTGTTTGGATCTGTATATCACATGGTAATGTAAATAGTTTTGTGGGAACAACATATCATGCATTGTTCCTACAATGTTTGGTTATAGTCTCAGGGAATTTAGTTTTGGCTGGTTATTCATTTTTTTTTTCCATGTCTTTCTGTGCTCGGTATTGGTACTATTTCCTATAGATCGACATTGTACCCTTTTCTTTTTTTCACTGTTGATTATTACTTGCTGCGGACTTAACTGTTTTGTTTTGGAGAAAATGTTGGATTTTTGTAATGAAGAAAGTATTCAATTTCATTTAGTACACCGGATATTGTGCATCTCAGTAGTTTCACTTAATTATCAAGATTCTTGCTAATAGAGATTACAATTGGAAATACAATGATGAATAGGATAATTTCTTCTTTCATTGTTATTTTATGTCCAACAATGTCACTGAACGTTGATACCAAATGTCTCAAAATGCTTTTGTTAATGGATTTGTCTGGCTTATGTAAAGTAATACTTGAACATTTCATTTGAAAGTGGTTAATTATAATAAAGTTTAAAATTATTGAACCGTGACAAATGGCATTTAAATAGCAGGAGGTTTAAAGACAAAAAGGAAGCGATGGAGCCAGAAGCTGATCCGGAAAGGGATCAGAGAACTGTTTTTGCTTACCAGGTATCTGGTTTGCTCTTCAGAAAGTTTACTATATCTGCAATAAATTCTTAGGCCAAATTCCTTCTGTAAGGTGTCCTAGAACTTATGGCTTTGGTAATATGATTGCAGATTGGAAAATTATATTTAGTAAATGTTGTTAATGGTTCACATCTACAGGAAAATAGTCAGAAATGAGCTGGTTAAAAAAACACGACAATATGAGACACATGAGAGTTCGTTTCAACTGTTAGAATTTTAAAATCAAGTTAGTTTTTGTTTAATTTTAAAATTTTAATTGAACCTAATTTCCGAAGTTGTGGAACCTTATGATTTTCATTTTGCAATATATCTGACTATTTTTTGTTTGGTTAATAATCTGGTGATGACAGATGCCACTGAAGGCAGCTGAACGAGATGTTTATGAATTCTTCTCAAAAGCGGGCAAGGTTGGCTTAACTCCATTCATTCTTTCTTTATTTTACATTATTAGATGTTTTTTCTTCTTACTTCTCCTTACGAATATGTTATATAATAGTAGCAGCATACACATGCTATGCATGTGTGAGTTTTAACTATTACAGAACTTTTTTTTTGGTTAGAAAAAAAGAGAAAAGTTAGTATTCGTAAGTCAGTTTAAAATAAAATTACTACAATGCTCTTCATTTTAAAAGTAATTATTAAGACTCCTTGTTAAAATAAGGAAAACTTGATGTAACCAGGATTTTGTACCTTTATTCCTCATTTTATGACACCTGCATGAATTATGATTCTGGTTACTTCTACACATCTAAGAATAATTTCAATCTTGTTGCAATAGACGCTCTTCAAATTGCATGTTATTGAGATGCATTTGCTTCCTGTTGCAGTACATGCTCCTCTGCCTTCAGTTACGAGTAATATAATGAGTTTCTATTCTCTCAACATTCTGTGTATGTGGGGTGAGTGAAAATGTACGAATGAGCTATGTGGGCATCTTATGGACACCCCAAACTAGGTGTTCTATCATGCAGTGTCAATATCTGAAGCCTATGTATAAGCCAATTTTCTTTCAAGTACATAAATTTCTAAGTGATCTGACACTGTCTAATTCTTTTTCTTTCACTTTCAGGTGAGGGATGTACGCCTGATCATGGACAGGAATTCTAGACGGTCGAAAGGAGTTGGGTATGTGCATTTAAATGAAACTGTATCATAGACATGTGTGTGTTCTTTGTGAGATAGATGTTAGTATATCATCCTTTTAGAATCAAGTTTAACTGTATTCTTTAATAAACTAGCAATGCGATAATGATGAGGGATGGTGGGAATACTTTGCACTCATGTTTAATCAATTCATGCTGCGTACTCAAGGTAGATGACAGAAACCTATTTTATATCCTTTCCTGCTTTCTTCGTCTTCGTGTTTTGTGCTATAAGGGCTCCATTCTGAATCCCAGTGCACCTTTTCAAAGTTCTCATCTAATGGTCATTCCATTTGGTGATATTTATTTATGATAGTATTTTTTTTAATTGGTAAAATTTATCAGGGTAGGGTCAGTGGAGAGTTTTATCTCCATTTCCCTTGGTTCCAGTGTTTCATAAGCTCCAAGTCTGGTTGACATCTCTGTGATCTTCCAGTCCTAGTTAAGGCTACATTATATATGTATAATGTATGTTTGTACATGTAATTTTACTGTTTGTGATTGGGATCTTCATTATCAAACTTGTAGCTCCTAGTGAACTAGAAGAGACTTGCTTCAAATTTCCCCCCATTCTGCCCTATTCTTTTGTTTTCATTAATAGATCAATTTTTAATGAAATATTTGTTGTTTTCTTTATTTTATTGTGATGAGCTAACATTTTCTTTTATGAGTCATCAGATTCATCAAAAGAAATTCAGCTTGAGCTCTATGCCCTAGAGTTTTTGTTTCCCTACATATCTTGGATATATGCTTTGTAAGTTTTGATTAGAATACTTATGGTATTGTATATTCCATCAAACTTACTGTAAAAGCCCGTTGATATTTGCAGGTATATTGAGTTCTATGATGCAATGTCTGTGCCAATGGCTATAGCTCTCTCTGGCCAACTACTTCTGGGGCAACCTGTAATGGTGAAACCTTCGGAAGCTGAAAAGAATCTTGTTCAGTCCAACGCCACGAGTGGGGCTGCAGGCGTTGTTGGGCCATATGGTGCGGTTGATAGGAAACTGTATGTGGGGAACTTGCATTTTAACATGACTGAGACTCACCTTAGAGAGGTATTTATGCTCAGTTCATCTAGGTTTAATGTTCTAATATATATTTATATGTGTGTGTGAATGAAGTTTTTATAGAGTAATTCTTTATATGTAAAAGATAATGAGATGAAATAGACCAAACAAAAAACAAATGAAAAGGAGGGAGGTGTAACTCCCCAGTATATATTTATATACTTAAATACCTTTTACTTTTTTAATCTAAAAATATTTTTTACAAATTTACCCTCCTTTTAAAATATGGGGTCTCTTAGCAATTTAATAACCAAGGGTCTTTATATGGGTTTATGAAAGTTTCACCTGTTCACTTCTCCCTTATGTGCATATATGCATATATAGATTAAATATGCCCCCACGCACACACACACTGATGTTTTAAAAAATTAGTCTCAAGGCTAGCCTGGGCGGTTTTCTCGGCAGGGCCATGGAAAAAAGGCCATGCCTTAGTTCTGCTAAACCCTATATATAATTATGTATTTAAATTTAAGCTGACGTATATATTTGTAAACTACTGGATGGCTACATATGTGTACATGTGAAATGAATACTTTCACAACAGCAAACACAAAAGAAAGTAAGCAAGGAAGTGCTAGGCTTTGATGAACTGTCATTCTGTAGGATTAATTATAGACACCATGAGTAGAATCATAGATAAGATTATTGAAGTATCACATTTTATGCTGTACTCAGGGTCAGGGAGACCATGCTATAAACTAGGACTAGACAGCAGTTGGAACTAGTATTCCCGATTTTGATTTCTGTTATATATTTTGAGTTATTTTTCTCACAACCATATATTTCTATGTTGAATGCTCAGATTTTTGAACCATTTGGACCAGTGGAACTTGTGCAACTTCCCCTTGATCTTGAGACAGGACAGTGCAAGGGTTTTGGCTTTGTTCAAGTCAGTGTTTACTTCTCATTGTATGTTTAGACGATTTTTATGTTTGGTTGGTGCTTATTTATTTGTTCGTTATGTTGCTAGTTTGCTCATCTAGAACATGCAAAGGCAGCTCAAAGTTTGAATGGAAAGTTGGAGATTGCTGGTCGAACTATCAAGGTACGCTTGTATTTTTTGTAAAAGTTATGATGGGAAGTTGAATATTTAAAGTTCCTAGTTTACACTATGGTGGCTGCTTGTCAGCAGCTAGAACTTTGGTAGCTATTTTTTGTGAGGAGTCATGGCGAACACTTATTGGACACTTTGTGTATAGGTTTCATCTGTTACAGATCATGTTGGATCTCAAGAGGCTGGAGCAAAATCTGCAGACTTTGATGATGATGATGGGGGTGGTTTGGTGAGTTTCAAAATTGTCATTATGTTCCGTTCACGTATATTCAAAGGAAAAAAATTTGAATGTCAAATGAATGTGAATATTAATAAAATATCAATGCGTTGACTAAATGGTGGAAGTTGACTTTTGAGCGAAATATATTGATAAAGAGTATTTACAAAAGGGAACTAGTATTGCCACTCCAAAAATTTAAGTTTGACTCCTCGTAAGAGTATTCTTTCTAAATATAGATAGTTTGGAGTGCACAATTAGATTTTTGGAGTGCAAATAACAATTCCCTGATAAAATATTGTATCCAATCTTAAAGACACACCTAGAAAAAATAGGTTATTGATATCTAATACTCTACACACACACATACACAGGGGTTTAGGTCAGCCCTTGGAGTCTTTATTAACTGCATAGATATCTAATACTATGCATGTAGTATTATATGTGCATGTATACATATTACTGAATAATCCAATTTTTACAAAAGAAACTTCCTCTCTAATGTTAAGTGCTTTTCTTTGCAGTCTTTAAATGCCCAATCTAGAGCACTGCTAATGCAGAAGCTGGATCGCTCTGGTATTGCCACAAGGTTCGCATCCATATTTCCTCACTGGTTTCTGCTAATTATTTTGTTTTCCTATTTCTGATTGTCTCCCTTTTGGCAGTATTGCGGGGTCTATTGGAGTTCCTGGGCTGAATGGGGCAGCTCCTAATCAACGAGCTGTTACGTTGCCTATCAATGGTCAAGCTGCAGTCTCTGCTCCTATTCTTCCAGCAGCAGTTGCAGTCAATGAACCCGTTGGAAACCCCAGCGAATGTCTACTACTGAAGAATATGTTCGATCCAGCCACTGAGGTCGGTGTTCTTTGCAATAATTGTTCACTCTCCTCCCTGAATAAATTTGTAATCTAAAATTCAGTATCATGTTGCAGAGGGAGCCAGATTTTGATGTAGACATTAAAGAGGATGTCGAAGAAGAATGTTCAAAATATGGCCGGGTGAAGCATATTTATGTGGACAAGTAAGTGCTTAAATATGAATACTAAGCATGCAATTATTATATGAATGTCTTGTTTGTGTAATATTATTGCAAGATGCTGTTAATATTTATGAAATACTTTGCAAACTTGGGGATGGGCCCAAGTTCCAACCAGTCTCACCTTACAGGGTGGAGAAAATTGGAAAGTAGAACTGACAAGGGAGATTCAACTCTCACCCCAACCCAATTCAACAAGGGTCGGGTGTTCAGTTTCTAGGGTTGTGCTTGAGAATAGAGGCATCGAAACGGAAAGGAGCCCACTGCAAGACCATACGAAATACATGGAAATATAAATAATTTTTAGTAGATGCCTCTATTTCAAGAGAATAAATAATTTTTAGTTGGGGCCTCTATTCTCAAAACCCTTGTAACAATGAGAACTAATATAATTTTTGTTACGTTGAATATTTTTCAAGAAAATAAATAATTTGTCACATTGAATGATGAAATATTTTTATAAAATCCTGGTTAAGAAACAAAGATTTTTTTTTTCTTTCCAAAATCTTCTGTATTTTCAAATAATTATTTTGTTTGATAATATGAAAAGCTACTTAAGAGTACAAAGGCAGTTCTTTCGTACTAGTTACATACATGTGTTGTGTTTGATATGTCAGGGAGTAGGTAAATTCAAAAATGAATTAGGCTTTCTTCTCCTAATTTGCTCTGTTTGGATACAGAAACAGTGCTGGTTTCGTGTACTTGCGGTTTGAAGCTGTGGAAGCAGCTGCTGCAGCTCAACGTGCAATGCATTTGAGATGGTTTGCGGGAAGGCTGATTTCAGCCCTGTTCATGGTAACATGCCTCTCCCTTTCTGACTGTCAAGTATGTTTTTGGTAACTTTCCATTTCTGATGTCGAGTATGCTTTTGGTAATTCCTGTGTGCATCTGAAAAAATAAATGTAAGGGCTCGTTTGGTGCATAGGATTGGATTGAAATGGATCTCTCTAATGTCAAGGCATGTTACGGGAGAAATGAAGAAATTATGACCCACTAGAGGGTAGAAGATGTATTACTTATGAAGATAACTTGTCCATTCCAATCTTGTAAACCACTTTAAATGAATAATCTACCTTCAATTTTCCTTGAAATCGGAGAATTATCTATTCCGAGCCAATATATGCACCAAACGAGGCCTTAATACTCCAATCCAATCTCATGAGTGTGTGCACCTATAATTTAAGATATCAAGTATTCTTCTTGGACTTCTTTGTTATAGCACTGGGAAACTTTTCTGACAATAAGTTTGAGTTGACATTGTTCTTAATTAAAAGTTTCGTCAAAACTGAGGATGTAGTGTAGATCTTAGTTAGCTGGCGCTCCCTGTTAACTGCGAAGTTGATTTCTCGTTGCCGCACCCTTTTCTTTTGGTTTCGTTTCATGAATAATCTTGTTTCTCATCGGCTTTTGGTGTCTGCTGCAGCAACCACAAGTTTACGAGGCCAAGTTTGGAGCTTAAACAACTGCTCAGATGCAGGAACGGAAGAGTCTTTGCGGACATGCATCGAGTGTTTTTAGTTCAAGGATAGTCTGTTTGTTTTAGGATACCAAATTTTCTAGTTTGATCCTACACCTGTAATATTATTACATCGAATGCATGACAACCGTGGAAATTTGTGTAATTTGTGCCCCAACCCTTCTTTTTATATTAATTAATGTTTAGTGGTCAATTAATTATCCCATCGTAGTGTTTTTCATTCCTGGACTCTAGATGCGATCATACAAACTCATATGCACCGGGCTTTCCTTTTAACCCTATGTTTTCTAGTGATTTTGTTCTTTGAGTCGAGTATCACCCTCTTTTAACTCTCAAATTTCTCGTCTCTGATATGGGATTTAGCTTTCTTCCTCTCTAATTGCTGTTGTGCTCATCGTGTGTTTCCTCTACGGATCTTATTTGAGGACATGCTTTAGCACTGTTGGGTAGGATTATGAAAGCGCTCATGGTGTTGGTGGCTTGCTCACCCCTACTTCATGTGTTGGATAATTTCCTCCATGTGGCTTTAGTTGACGGGAAGCATAAACAACTCCTCTGCCAGATTGCATTAAAACACATCCCAGTCCATGTAATGATGCATCAGTGAAAACTATGTAACCGGCATCTCTTTCAGAAATGATTTAACACTAGTGCAGTTGTTAATTGAATTTTTAATTCTTGGAATGATTCTTCACGATCACCAGTCCAAATAAATTTAACTCCCTTATGTGTTAACCTGGTCATGAGAATGGCTGTTCGAGAGAAATCCTTACCAAATCTTCTATAATAGCCGGCCAAACTTAGGAAGCTTCGTATGCCATGTACATTTTTCTGCTCAATCCAATTCAACACTGCGTCTACTCTTGAAGGATCCTTTACAATGCCTTTATTTGAGATGACATGTCTTATGAATTTCACTTCAGTCCACCAAAATTCACATTTGCTTAACTTAGCATATAACTTATTCTCCTTCTAAGTCTGTAAGATAGATAAATGTTCTTCATGTTCTTTCTCGGTCTTAGCGTAGATGAGAATGTTATCGATAAATTCAATAACAAACTAATCAAGGTAAGGTTGAAAAATTCGATTCATTAAATCCATGAATGCTGCTGGTGCATTCGTTAAACCAAAAGGCATAACCAAAAATCGTAATGTCTATCGAGTTTGGAAAGCTGTCTTTGGTATATCTTCTGGTTTAATTCGAAGTTGATCATAACCAAAACAAAGACCAATCTTTGAGAAATATCAAGCACCTTTTAGTTGATCAAATAAATCATCATTCTAGTCGATGGATACTTGTTCTTTATAGTAATTCTATTTAGCAAACGGCAATCAATACACAACCTAAGGGTTCGATCACTTTTCTTTACAAATAGTGTAGGAGCACCCCAAGGTGATGTACTAGGCCGAATAAAACCTTTCTCTTGAAGTTCTTGAAGTTGCTTTTTTAGTTCTTTCAATTCCACTGCTGCCATAATATGAAGGTGTAGATATGGGTGATGCACTGGATATGTCTTATGGAAAATTCTATTTCTTGAATGGGTGGCAATCCAGGCAAGTCTTATGGGAATAGATTAAGAAAATTTCTTACTACCGGTATAAATTTAGTTTTGGATTCACTTATACCCTCCAACATCATTTGAGCGATTGGTCTCACGTAATCAACTTTTGTCTTATCCAAAACTGAATCAGGTTTTGGAACACTCTTATTCCCATAAAACTAAGTTTTTCTCCAGCAGAGATGGTCATAGTCACAAATATCTTAACACAATCAGTAATACCTTCAAATCATTTGACCAAATCCATTCCAAATATTACATCATAATCCAACAAGTCCAACAACACCAAATCACATTCAAGCTTATGATGCGATATATCTATTGTGCATGACTTGCACACAATCCACGAAAGGAGATTCAATCAATAATGGAAATTTCATAAATTCAGACTCTAATCCCAAGTGGATGCAAAAGATGTAGAATAAATCGTCTTCTAGCACCAGGGTCAAACAATATCTTGGCCCAAGAATTGAAGACTAGAAAAGTACAACTTGGACTACCTTTGGGGCTATATATTGTCAACTTAAAAAGCTTTACTTTTTCCTTAATCTCAACTCTTAGTCCTTCTTCTAGCTACATATTGTGCCTAAGCTCATCACTTAGGCGTGCAGCTATTTACACCAAAAATGCCAGCTGTACTTAGGGAAGGGCAAATATCAATTGGTTATGGGTAACCGCGGTTACCCGTCCATTTAAATTAAACGATTACGGTTATGGATAACTGTTTAGATAAATAAATGGTTATGGGTATAACCGTTTACCCGCGACATTTAAATGGACGGTTATGTGTATTAACCGCGATTATAAATGGGTAACCGTTTACCCATTTATTTTATATATGTAAAACTAACACAAACTATGTTCTCGATCCGATAATACTCAGCATCCAATAAATTAGCAAGGAATTCATCGGTCCTTCTCTCAATAACATTTGTCACAGCCCGTCCCGGGATTTTTATATCGGGAGCCTGAAATGAAGATACTACCCTTGTCGTTGCTAAGGTTTGTGTGTGTAACGTTATTTGGTTTAAATTATTATAAGTTTTGGGGATTAAAAAAAAAAATTTGGTTTTGGAATTATGTGGTTAGGGAATTGGATGGATGATGTGGATTAGAGTGGACCACACCTCACACTCCCTGCTCTCTTCCTCGTACCTTCCCTCTCTCTCCTCCCTCACGACTCTCTCTCACTCTCTCTCCCCCATAAACGTACGACATCAACTAAAACCCTCCAAAACTTCGTGGATCGAAGCAAATAAGGTATGAATCTTCACCCTCTTGATGTTCTGAGTTGATTGGTACTAGTTTTAGGAAGTGAAACCCTCGGGATCGTCGGGAAACCCTAACCCCGAAATTGTGCACTGTTCATGCACACGTAAAATCTTACGTTTCAGGGAATTTCAAGCTCACAGTGAGCTTAAGGACATCCTCGCGAGCCTCGGAGTGCTTCGTTGGTGATAATTGGACGTCGGAGGACCGAGAGCGAAGTCCTCAAAGTTTCCCGAACTATCATGCTTCCCCAGGTAAAATATAGTGAATTTTAGACCCTAAAACTAGTCCATCGTGATTCTTCATGGTTGGGGCTTCAGTTTGATATAAAATTCGAAGAAAATGGTTGAGAAACGAAGGAGAACAAGAAGTTACAAGTTTGGCCGGAAAAACCAATCCGGCGACTGGCTGGGGAAGATGACGCACGTGGGGGCGCGTGTGTCCGTGCGTTCCCTGGCGCGTGGGGGCGCGTGCGACACCAAAAAATTAATCTAAAAATTTCTTGACGTCCGTGACGTCGAGTAGGTCGATGTGGTATATTCATATACCCAATTTGAGCATCGTATGAGAAGTTATTTCGAATTGTTGGTTATGTGTTTAAATTAACGTTTTTATAGTTGTTTCGCATATAGGTGACACTTATCCTGAGGACGAGCGCATCCAGGGACGTCACGGGGGTTACGACCCATCGACTTATCAGTGAGTGGGCAGTTTTGTTTTCGTATTACCTATATATAACTGTTTTTCCCAGAAAATGCGTTTATATGAAAATTATGATTTAAATTGCCATGCATGCAAATGTTGAGATATTTAGTTTGATAATCGATGCATATATATGTTAATTGACGCGGTGGACGCACATGTGAGTTTTTATATTATTCAGATGAGTTATTTTATGAGAATTGCATTGAAAGCTCATAACCTGCACCCTAGGTGTTAGTGCTTATATTATTATTCACCACACCGCACGCTCGTCTTGGATCCAAGTAGGTGGATGTTGTACAGACCATGTGAGGGTTCCGACATGCTAGTCGTATAGATCACTAGATGTGATTCCGACTAGTGGGTGACCTTAGTTATGCGCGCTGATGATTGATGGGAGAAGCACTAGAGCGTACTTATACACCTTTCATCGTACAGACTACTATACGTAGTTCCGAGTGATGTGCAGTGTAGTGCCGTACAAGTCACAGTTGGTGACTCCGGCAAGGCCGTATAGGTCACTGTGGTGACTCCGGCTGAGTGGGATGTTGAGCTTTAGAATCAGCCGTACAGGACCATTGTAGGGTCTCCGGTTGATTTATTATTTCACCTGATTGATATTGATGCATTTCTGACTATATTTGGCATGGCGTGGCATATTATTTCTGAGATGTTATGTTGATGGATATGAGCTGAGTTTTGATGATATGTCTATATATATGTTTATATATTATTTTTCTGGGAAAGTATACAGGTTTTACGGTGAGGGGTTAGAAATGTTTTAAATGAAATGTTTCGGAAAATCTTTGATTTTACTGACCCACTCATCTTTGTTTTGCGCCCCTCCAGGTTCTAGTTAGCGGTTGGTGGCTCTCGAGGTCTTTTTCGGCATTCTGACAGACGTTCTGCATGTAGGACTCACCTGCGGGTGATGTATTTTATTTTGGTCCTACTTGACTGCACTTAAACCTATGCTCTGAATTTATGTGTTTACCTTATAACTCATCCTTTTATTCTAGTAGGTGGTTCTACTAGAGATTGGTTTGAATTCCTTTATATTTTGTTATGTCTTGCTTCCGTGTCGCACTTTTGGTTACGTCACACTCACGTGACGGCCAGCACGCCTTGATCCTCTGGGTCGGGGTGTGTCAACATTGCTACAGGAATGATGATTCTCATCATCAAGGAATTGGCCAAATTAATTAAATTCCTTGCGGGTAACCGTGAAATTGACAGAAATGCTTTGACAGAAATGTCTTCTAAACAATTTTTGTAACCCATTTAACCGTAACCGTTTAGTACCCGTTTACCCATTTATCATTTTTAAACCCGTTTATCATTTCTTTTTTACCATTTACTCATTTTTCACCCGTCTACGTGTTTTTTAACAACTTGAAAATTAAAAAAGAAAAATTTGTCATAATTTTATTTTTCTAACAATTAAACACCGTTATAGGTACATTTATCATACATTTCCGCATTTTAATTTTTTAAGTCCTTGTACCATTCCAATAATTGAAATAATATTTTACAGACGATATTTTTAACTGTTAGCAATGAAGATAATATAAAATTTGCTAAATAGTCTTGGGTTACGAAAACTGTTAAAAGACAGTATTCTTTGGTTATTTAATTCGGAATGTAAAATATTAACATAATATATATAATAGACCAT